TAGCCTAGAATCTTCTTAAAATCATTCAGTTATGGAGCACCCACAATTTGTGGAGGCAAGCTGTTCCACTGGTGAATTGGCCTCACTGTTAGGAAGTTTCTCCTTAATTCCAGGTTGCTTCTCTTTTTGATTAGATTCCAACCATTGTTTCCTGTCCTACCCTCTGATGCTTTGAAGAATAATTTGATCCCCTCTTCTTTGTGGCAGCCCCTCAAGTACTGGAATACTGTTATCATGTCACCCCTAATTCTTTTTTTCTTTAGACTAGCGAAACCCAAATCCTGCAGCTGTTCTTCATACATTTTAGTCTCCAGGCCTTTGATCATCTTAGTTGCTTTTCTCTAAGCTTCTTCCAAAGTCTCAATATCTTTTTTGTAGTATGGTGACCAAAATTGGTTGCAATATTCCAGGTATGGTCTTACTAGGGTTTTATAAAGCTGTACTAATACTTTCTCCCTTTGCATAGTATATTTTCCCCTTTAGATACACTAACACAGGAAGTGACATTCAAATGTTACATTTTCATTGTATAAGATTCAACATTTAGATAGAAATCTCTCCATGTAAGATAGGGAAAGCATCTTTGACTAAACAAAAAGCAGTGTCTATGTATGTATCCAAACCCAGTAATTTAAAATATTATAAAAATGCAAAACCAAAAGCAACAGAAAGTGTGATTAGGGTGTACTGGTATGTGAAAAATGATTTTGTTGAAATTAAATGCTGAAATTAAATTATACACATTTTTTTTAAACCCTCTCATGGGGAAATGTCTTAAGTTGAAAGAGGAAAAAGGAGAATGGCTCACTTAGGCCAGATATTGTTATAATAAGCTGCCCTCAATATTTACAAACAGAGAAAGTCAAATTATAAACCAAATAAAGGAAGAAATTAAAGCTGCACTTTTATGTCTCTTGCTCTGCTGTTGTTTAGAAAATCCATGAAGACCGGGCTGTTTGAGAGGAAGAGGAAGGCTCCTTGCCTTCATTGTAGTTGCCATCTTTTATCTTTATTTCTAATGTTTTATAGATTTGATTGTAACTTCTTTGTTGTGAGCTGCCCGGAATCATTTGAGAGTTGAGTGGCATACAAGTTTAATAATAAATTATCATTTTTTCAGAGTAATCAATGTATCCTTACGATTTATATTGATTGTTTCCTACTATGATTTGATTGTTTATTTGTACCCTATGACTATCATTAAGTGTTGTACTTTATGATTCTTGATGAATGTATCTTTTCTTTTTATGTACACTGAAAGCATATGTGTCCAATCACATTTGGCCAATAAAGAATTCATTCATTCATTCATTCATTCATTCATTCATTCATTCATTCATTCAGTCAGTCTGTCTGCCTATCTATCTATCTATCTATCTATCTATCTATCTATCTATCTATCTATCCTGTTTTCCCCCAAATAAGACATCCCCTGATAATAAGCCCAATCGGGCTTTTGAGCGCATGGCAATAAGGCCAAGCACTTATTTTTTAAAAAAATATAAGACAGGGTCTTATTTTCAGGGAAACACGGTATCTATCTATCTATCTATCTATCTATCTATCTATCTATCTATCTATCTATCTAATCTGTCTATCTGAATTACCTCAGGAGCTAATTCTGAGTTGAACTAAAAAAACCCCAACCAACCTTTTTTAGTACAGTTCAAGGTGTTATTTATGACCTTTAAAGACCTTGAAGACCTGATGAACCTATCCTACTCGTGCCAGCAGAGAACACCTACTTTGGATCCTGTCGATTAAAGAGCTCTGACTATCAGGATCCAGAAGAGTCTTCTCTGCTGCAGCCCCTGCTCTTTGGAACATGCTACCCTGTAAGATAAGATCCACTCCTATTCTCCTATCTTTCTGTAGGAGCCTGAAGATGTGGCTCTGCTGGTTGGCTTGGGAACCAAATGGGTGAATTCCATGTTGCTGGATTGATGGCAGACTCCACCTCCCCTGTTTGCTTTCTGCTCTTCACTCATCCGTCTCGTCATCCTATTGTTGTATTCTTGTTGTGTTCTTTTTGATTGTTTATTTTGTTGTTCTATTATTTTACACTCATTTTCTTCCTTTTTATTATTGGAAGACCCCTTGCGTAGCACTACAGCGAGATATGCAGCAAATAGGTAAAGGTAAAAGTGGCTAAGACACTGAGCTTGTAGACTGAAAGATCGACAGTTCAGCGGTTCGAATCCCTACTGCCACATAATGGGATGAGCTCCTGTTATTTGTCCCAGCTTCTGCCAACCTAGCAGTTCGAAAGCACATAAAAAATGCAAGTAAAAAAATAGGGACCACCTTTGGTGGGAAGGTAACAGCGTTCCGTGCACCTTTGATGTTTAGTCATGCCGGCCACATGACCACGGAGACATCTTTGGACAGCGCTGGCTCTTCAGCTTTGAAATGGAGATGAGCACCGCTCCCTAGAGTCGGGAACGACTAGCACATATGTGCAAGGGGAACTTTTACCTTTACCTTATTGTTTTTAAAAAATATTTTTAAAAGATTTCTGTTTTTATACTCGTTAGTCGTCCTCCCTGAGTTACTTATAATGGCAGCCATATACATTGGTATGTTGAATGAGTGAGTGAGTGAGTGAGTGAATGAATGAATGCATGCATGCATGAATGAATGAATGAATATCTACATATGTAACTATACAGAAGAAAGCCAAACAACTATCAGTGGTTATATGTGGAACAGGCAAACCTATACAGGAATGAAGATGAATTTTCTTAGGCACAGATGATTTCTAGTGTAACAGCAGAACTCAGGTGATGAAGTTCACAGTACGTGGGTTTTGGAGAACTAACTTTCGAGCATGTTATCCATTCTTATGTCACTAAAGAAAAAGCCAACTGCAAAGAGAAACCAGCTATTTTGAGACAGGATGTTTATGATTTCTTACCTGTTGGTGATGGATAATGTTAGCCGAGAAAATGGATTCTAAGCTTTTAATGTCAACCTCAAATGCCTGGGTTTGCAAACATTAATTATTAATATTTCTGAAATAGGCCTAGGATGTTTCTAAATTAAGAATCGGAGGAGATGGGGAAAAAAAAATAGTGAGCTAAGGACACAAAGTTGATGTCACGAAATAGATTTTTTTTTTTTATTATATTGGGACCATAGTGATCTCAAAGGGTTCTATTGGAGAACTGGGAAAAATGCTTAATCTCTTTTGTACATCAGTTTTCTTCATGGAATCTACTCATTTCCTAAGCCATAGAGGAAAAAATAAATACAATGTCTCCAGTTATTTTGAGCTACTGCTGCCATCAAGCTCCAACTTCCATTCCAAGCATCCTCCTTTTTTTAATTTGTGGTCAATATAAGCATATATGTGTGTGTGTGTGTGTGTGTGTGTGTGTGTGTGTGTGTGTTTCTTCTAGCCAGGTTTTCCCTACGTAACCAAGGTTTTTTGTAGCTCCAGCTCAGTAGAATCACATCTACTCGGTTCTGGGCTTTTTTCTTTTCTAACAGCTAGCAACAGCTCAGTTGTAGCTGGAGCTACAAAAAACCTTGGTTACGTAGGGAAAACCTGGCTAGAAGAAAAACACACATAAACCCTACGAAGAAGTAAGAAAATTGATATTGTACCTTTACAGGGAGGATACATAAGATATGGGTGTGGCCTACTGATGAAAGCAAACGAGCTAGAAATGGGTCTATTTGGGTCTCCCACCTAGCAGTTAGAGCTTGCTAGCTGTTAGAAAAGAAAAAAGCCCAGAACCGAGTAGATGTGATTCTACTGAGCTGGAGCTACAAAAAACCTTGGTTACGTAGGGAAAACCTGGCTAGAAGAAAAACACACATAAACCCTACGAAGAAGTAAGAAAATTGATATACATACATACATACATACATACATACATACATACATACATACATACATATATATATATATATATATATATATATATATATATATATATAAAACTCTTTGACATTTTATTTAGTCATGACTGTGTATGTGGGGAAGGAAACAAAACAATTATTTATCTCTTTTTTCCACAAATCTACTTCTCAAAAATAATGATAGCACCTGCCCTTCAAGATTGTTTTGAACCTAACAAAAATGACAAAAGATTTGAAGCTGGATCTTCTGCAATACAGGTAGCCCTCAATTTACAACAATTTGTTTAGTAACCATTCAAAGTTACAACGGCACTGAAAAAAGTGATTTATGACCAGTGGTGGGATTTAAGTAATTTAACAACCGGTTCTCTGCCCTAATGATTTCTTCCAGCAACCAGTTTGCCAAACTGCTCCAAAAATTAACAACCGGTTGTCCCGAAGTGGTGTGAACTGGCTGAATCCCACCACTGCTTATGATCATTTTTCATACTTACAACCGTTGCAGCATTCCCATGGTCACGTGATCAAAATTCAGACCCTTGGCAACTGGTTCATATTTATGACCATTGCTATGTCCCAGGGTCATGTGATCACCTTTTGCGACCTTCTGACAAGCAAAGTCAATGGGGAATCCAGATTCACTTAGCAATTGTGTTACTAACTTAACAACTGCAGTGATTCAACTTAACAATTGTGACAAGAAAGGTGGTATAACGGGGCAAAACTCATTTAACAACTGATTCTCTTAGCGACAGAAATTTTGGGCTCAATTGTGGTTGTAAATTTAGGATTACCTGTATATTACTTTAGCTTGGCTTCAAATACTTCCTACCCCCCCCCCTTTATCCCTTGGCTTCAAAAACCTCCTCCCCCCCCCCCCCCCTTTAACCCACTTCCACTGTGAACAAACCTACTTCCACTAGAACCAGCAGTTAATTTAATAAAAATAGAATGTTAATCCTGCGAATAGTTTTTGTTTAGAGGGCTTAAAATCCACAATCTTGCTAAGTGTGGGCTTTTGGGAAATTTGTGTGCTTATAATTTCTTCTTTTTTGTAAGTAATTATTCGGATCGTTTATTAGTTTTGACAAGCTGAAAAAAAATGATAAAAGAAATATGCTTAGCCAGGTAGCATATGCAGTAGAGAGAAAAGTATTTTTAATAGCATTTTTTTTTTTTTTAAAAAAAAAGGATTTTTACAGAAAATATATTACAAAAGTTAAGACTTAGAATATGCAGTATCAGTATATAAAGAAGTAATAAAAGGCATGCTGGGATAACAGGGAGAATTATAAATAGAAAAATCATCAAAACTACAAACCTGTTGCCATGGCACAAAGCACTCCAGTTTACAGGGGAAAAAATGATTATATTATTGCAATAATTGCATTTTTTTTTCTTTTTGCCAAATCCATTTGTTGTGGTTATCGTTTGTTTTCTGATGACATCCAACCATGCTTTTCAGTGAAAAGTTAAGGTTAACTAGAGAACTTAACCATATATTCCCTTCCTACAGACCATAAGAGTTGCTCTCTGAACTTGGCTGTTTTCTTGGAGACGTTTCATTACTCAAACTAGGTAACATTGTCAGTGCTAGTAGCATTAATGATGTTACTTCGTTTGCAGAATGAAACATCTGCCAAGAAAACAACCAGGCTCAGAGAGCAACTAGGATCCCTCCTTTCAACCCTGAGCTACAAATATTCTCCTTTATTCATGGATAGTTGTTCTCCAGAGACAATCCGTTTTAACCAGGGGTGAAATCCAGCAGATTCTGGAGAACTGGTAGCGGAAATTTTGAGCAGTTTGGAGAACCGGCAAATACCACCTCTGGCTGGCCCCAGAGTGGGATGGGAATAGAGATTTTGCAGTATCCTTCCCCTGCCACGCCCACCAAGCCACGCCCACAGAACCGGTAGTAAAAAGAAAATGGATTTCACCACTGGTTTTGACCAAATAAAATATCCCCTTTGCTATTTAGCTATCCTAACTGTGCTAAAATGCACTCATGGCTCTTAGAATTGTAATGTCGCGTTTTCCCCTTTGACATAGACCTGGGCAAACTAAGAAATGAACAATTAATTAACCATTCCAAGATGAGATCGTGGATCAGCTCAAGAATAGTAGCATTAGAGATTAGCAGACTGTGAAGTGAAAGGAGAGAGAAAAAGAAATTATTCTGATCGGGTGTATGATGTATGGGTTGGATGATACACTCGACATACATCATGCATAAAACCACTCAGGACTCTCATGGTGAAGTTGCCTGAGGTGAGAATTGCTTTTCATGTTCCTCCGCTAAACTGCTTAAATTACCATTCTGTTGGTTATACTCCTCGATTTCAGCTACAATTTCAGTATCTGTTATTGGCTTTGGCTTGTCTATGTCTTTAGGCAGAATGTAATTTTTATTTATCTGACCGTACATATTGGCCACTGATTTTTCAATGTCTGCTAAGTTATGGATATTTTTAAGAATCCCCTTCAGTTGCTTGCCGGAAGAATCGCAAGGCTCTGACCCGCGAGCCTGCGACGACACCGTGGCTTGCTTGGAGCTCGACTTGGTACATTTTGTAACATGTAAAAGTTGGGCGCTTTGAATGGGTGAGGAAAGCCTTGGAAAGGGAGGGAAGGGGAGTGATAATGAGGGAGGAGGCAGCAGCGGAGGGGATGGAGAAGGAGGTGGAAGTGGGAGTGGAGGTTCTGGTAGGTCTTGAATGCTTTTGGTTTCATCGTCAGACATTTTGATCTTAAAAGGGGAAGGCGTTGATGTACAGCTTGGTAGAAGGGATAACTGTTCAGGATTGTCATGGTCAGTGATGGCAATGGATGGTGCTGTTGAGGTTCTGAGTTCAGTCGCCTCAGAACGTGCTTGGAAAGAAGAAAAAGGAAGTGCAGGAGACCCTGAAGAGGGAAGAAGACACTCAGAAGTTGGTTCTACTGTTCTCTCTTCCTCTTGAGCACAGGTGCTACTTGCGAGGGAAAGCCCACCCTTCTTGTCTTGGCATTTCATTTGTTGCATTTCTTGCAGAGCCTGTTGCTCAAACTGCCTCGCTTTCTCTCTAACTGATGTCCTTGTGACATTGCTGGTCTTCAAGACTAGACTGTCAGATCTCCTTTGATGGATTCTAACCCTTTCATTCTTTACTCTGTTTTTCTCCTGGTCCCACTGAATTGGGTCCATAATGAGCAAAATATTTTTCTTGGTAAGCTGGCTTGGTAAAGTCCACGCCCGCTCAATGTCTTTCAAAGTGCCGCTCAGCAGAACGTTTTTCAAAGCTGACTTTGTACGAAAGAAATGGGGCACCGCATATTTGCTTTCGCGTAACAACTCAGAAGTGGAACTATGCAGTGCACTCTCAGCGTACAGAGGGTTTCGGATAGTTAAGGGAGTCTCATCAGATAATAATGTAACATTGCTTGCAGATTTGGGGAAATTATTTTTCAATGTTCCTTTGATATTAGACCGCTTGTGGGCCTCAATTGCACGAGAAGCAAAGTTGCTAATAATTCTCTGACGGTCTCCTCCATCTAATAATATATTTGTTCTCCTGCTTTGTTGAAAACGGTAGAGAAGAAAAAGACTTGAAAGAAAAGAAAACCACAAATGAGAAAGCATGCATGAGAAAAACAATATGAATGCAGTGAATATGAAACAGAAAATGAATAAAAAGTCTTATGTTCTTCTAGGTTACCTAAGAATCTAGATCTAGGGCAATTAATCTACATGTAATTAACCTACTAAATCACAGAAAGTTATTTTACTACTTCACTGGGGGGAGAGGGTATAATAATCAAATTGAAATATTATAGGATGTAAGTCTGCAATCCATATTTGAAATAGGGTCAGATTTCTCTGTCTAACAATTTATTTATAGCTAATATTGCTGGAAGGACAAAACATTACAGAAAGCATATTTTTGGTCATATTCCAATTGAACTTGTGTTTTTCATAGAATTATAGAGATGGAAGAGACCTCTGGTCACCTGATCCATCCCCATGGTAAGTGCCAAGATATGCTAACACATTTCAGACAGATGGCTAACCATCTCTTTGATGACCTCCAGTGAAGGGAAATATAACAACTATTAGACATGTGAAGACTGGGGGGAAAAAAACCCTCCCCTCAAGTTTCTGTTCTGGTGGTTAAATATATATATAATCATTTTAACTGTTCCTTATATGATTTCGTTTCTAGTCCCCTCATCGTCTTCCTTCGTGCTGGAGTGGCCGGCATGAGGGAAGGAGGAGGAGCAGACAGAAGAAAGAGGGAAAACGTCCTTCTCCTTCCCTCATGCTGGCCACTCTGTTGCCCATTTCTCCATTGCAGCACAGCACAATGCCCAGGATCCACTTTGATAGCAGGAAGTGGGTAATTTAACAACCTGAATCAGTCGAATCTCACCACTGTGTGCAGTACCTCAAATTAGAGTCAGTATATCCAAATGAGGACCAATCAAGAGTGAGACTTCTAACGATATGGATCCCTTGTTCTTGTTAATACAGGTAGGCCTCAACTTACAACCACAATTGAGCCCAAATTCTATTTTGTTAAGTGAGAAATTTGTTAAATGCGTTTGTTCCGTTTTATGACTTTTCTTGCCACGTTTGTTAAGTGAATCACTGCAGTTCTTAAATTAGCAACACGGTTGTTAAGTGAATCTGGTTTCCCCATTGACTTTGCTTGTCAGAAGGTCACAAAAGGGGATCGCGTGACTCCGGGACACTGCAACCGTCATAAGTGTGAGTCAGTTGCCAAGCATCCAAACATTTAATCATGTGACCACGGGGATGCTGAAATGGTCACAAGTGTGAAAAATGTTCATAAGTCACTTTTTTCAGTGCCGCTGTAACGTTGAACGGTCACTAAATGAACTGTTGTAACTCGAGGACTATCTGTATTGTCTAACAGGCATTTGCCATTTTAGCAGTTGCATCATCCTGTCAACTCGTGTTTTCAACTTGTGATCCATTAGAATACTCCAATCCTTTTCAAATCTACGACTGCCTGCCAGGTTAGTGGTCCCCAATCCTATACATGTGCTTTTCATTTTTTTTATCACCTGTTGTAACTCTATAAATTTTATTCTGTTTGTTTAATTCCATTCTTCAAGACTGTCTAAACCTTTTCAAAAAATGTCTTATTTTTTAATTGTTCTTTCGAGTTTTGGATCATCTGTGAGGACGTAAAGCAGGGTGAAATCCAGCAGGTTCTGACAGGTTCTGGAGAACCAGTTGCAGAAATTTTGAGCAGTTCGGAGAACTGGCAAATACCACCTCTGGCTGGCCCCAGAGTGGGGTGGGAATGGAGATTTTGCAATATCCTTCCCCTAGAAGTGGGGAAGGAATGGGGATTTTGCAGTATCCTTCCCCTGGAGTGGGGTGGGAATGGATATTTTGCAGTATCCTTCCCCTGCCATACCCACCAAGCTACACACGCCGACCAAGCCACGCCCACAGAACCAGTAGTAAAAAATTTTGAATTCCGCCACTGACATAAAGAATTTTTAAAATGGAAACCATAGTTAGTCCATTAAGCGGTTTTCCAAGAAAATACTTTTAGGAACAGTGGTTGGTCCACTATGTCTCTCTTTTTTGTCTCCGTCTCCTCTACTTGTTCTGGTCAGTCTCAATTTAGCGTAGCTTAATTGCAGGTATGAGGAACAAAATTAAGCTAAAATTGCAAAACTTAAGTTGTTTAACTGAGATTATTTTTACAGATGTTAATGAGACCTCTGATAAATGAAAGGCATTAGGATTGTGACTTGTTTTTGACTGTGGAGAAATGTCATTAACCCCAATAATCTGAAGGGCCTTGAATCTGAATTTGCTGAAGTTATTGGTGACACTGCTTTTAATCTTTTATATCTAGTTTCCTTTGGAGAGTAGTGCATAAAATCTAGATACTGCATACTGGAAAAATAAAATAATTGTATTTTTTTTTAAAAAAAACCACACAACTGTTTCAATTTGCTACTATATTTGCCACTACTATGAAAGTTTACTTACTGATGCCTACACGTCCAAAGACAAATAAGAAAAGAAAATGAAAAATGAATTTAATTTCAAAATGCTATCTGTAGAAGCTTTGTGTAATTCACAACACAGATTTTAACTGAAAACCGAATGAGATCCCCAAAGAAATTAGAAAAGTAAAAGAAAAGAGATATTGTCTTCAGAGTACTTATTGCTTAAATTTTCAGGAATTATTAAGTATTGGCATTAAACAGTTCAAATGCATGGTGAAATCCATACTAAAATGATATGTGATTTTGCAAAAGGATTGTTAAAGATTGTTTTGCTATGGTGCATTTAAGCAAACATATTTTAATCAAAAGAGTTTCTGTATATTTTCTGTATCCATCCCTTCAATGGATTTATTAAAAAGTCCAATTACTAAAGGCAGCTCTATCCATTTCCTGAGGCAGCCTGATAGAGCTCTATCAACCAATAGAGCTTGATTAATGCTCAGCTGGAATCTATGCTTTGAGTATAAAGTTTTAGTAAATACTGAAAATACTATTCAAGTTTCCACCCATGGAATATTTGGCTTTTTTTGGCTCACGTTGCATGCAAAAGTTTGAATTTTGCTTTATGTACTCCTTCCTATTTATATGTGGTATTTCAACATCTTGACATAATTTTCCAACTACCAGAATAACTTTGTATTCAAGACATTTTATCAGAATTTGAATAACACTAGCTTTGGGCAAAGTCTCAAAGTCTTGGCTATATGATGGTGATGATTAATCAAACAAATGTCTAATCATCTTAATCATCTAGGTCAGGGTTGTCAAACTCGCGGCCCGCGGGCCGGATGTGTCACATGCAGGCCACACCCAATCCAGTTCCAGGAAGGGAAAAAATGTTGTGAAACATCATGTAATGTCAATGTGATGCCACGAGTTTGACACGCGTGGTCTAGATATACACCATTCAAAGCCCAATCTTAATGAGGCCTACTGTATACTATTTTCTTAGATTGATGAAATCTGGTCTCCTCTGGAGTGCCTAGGAAGAAATGTTAACATCAGTATAACCTATTCACTTTTCTCTCCCACCCGTTTCAATTTTGGGAGAAATTAGTAGAAATACATTGATTCTGTCAGCCTTTTAACATTTTGCACACTTAGGCACATATGCTTCCCAATGCTTTAAACAGAATCCACTTGTACAGGGAGATACACGCTGGACCCGACCAATTACCTAATTCTGTGATATCAAAAAATAAATTTGCATACTTTAAAATATGTTTTTAAAAAATCTATAAAAAGTTTCTGAAATATATTTAGTACGTAGATAGATGATTTTCCACTTGGTATACCACATTGACAGTAATGCTTGTCTCAATTCTCTTATGTGTTCCAAAATTTACCTATATGCTTCTGCTTACACAATTACAATTTCTTTATCCTCTTTCAATAAATGCACTATTCCCCCGTGATGTTCACCAACATGCATTGATATTTAGGAGATTATATATTAATTTGCTTAGCCATGATGACTGTAATTTCTAAAGTCTCAAAATTATGCCCTGCGTTATTAGCATTTTAAATTTCATTGAAAACTTACATGGTGCTGTCACCCAGTTCTTCGTAGAGATTATTGGCAGGGATGCTTGCTGATTTGCCAGCTGGTAAGGCCATCTGGATGCGCGCTGTCTTTGCACATTCAGCTTGTCTCCTTTGGTGAAATCATATGGGGAAGAAGTGATGAGATTTGAAGGGAATCAAAGAATGTTTCTAACAAGCCCACATTGGTAGAAATAGTCATGTGGAGAATTCATTAGAGCTTTTCACCTGGTAATTGATGCTAACACTAAGCATTTGAAAATACCGCAAACAGAATAAAATTTGGCTTCTTGATGCAGATATACTCAGTTTCTCTTACAATGGAATATTGTAGCGGTGTTTTTGTTCATGATTGAGTAGAAAGTTCTGGAAATGAACTCCAGTTCTCTAAAATTAATAACTGGTATATTTAAAACTATAAATTTACCTCCCATTTTCTTAATCAATGCCAAAGAAAGAAAAAGGGCTGGGATTATAGAATAGATAAATATCTCAAGGTTTACTACTGAAATAATAAATTTACCTATATTCTGGAATTTTAAATCAATATACAATTAGACCTTGTTTTCCACTTGTCTCCCTAGTCAGGTTTATGATTCTACCTTTCACATAAAATGACTTTTTTTATTATTAGCACAAACACTTGTGTTTCAAGTGCATTTTCAATGAAGTGTTTATTTAAATGAAATTTATTTACACATTTTACACTGTGAATATAATCTGATCAATCTTAATTTTACAATTTAGGTAGCTTTTTTCTGTAGAATTAAATCACCTTAGATATTAAAACCTGTAAAGGGGACACATCACTTAGATGAGGTGGCAAAATAACCTAAGATGTTTAGTACACTTCTAATCTTATAACCTTATTTGGGGAAAGCTTGACAGTTTTCAATCATTATGTACTGTCCTACTGATACACATATATCCTTCTTTCTGAAATCATTGTACCCAAACAAAAGCTAAACCATTGCATATTCATACACAAGGCAAATAAAGTTTAAAAATAAAATACTTACTCTTTAAATCTGTTTTGTAATGCAGAATGGTAAAACAGAAATAAGAGAATAAACAGTGAGATTCACATAAAAAATAATTCAGAAAATTCTTATAAATTTATAGGCTACATATTTTTAGGGCTGCCTCCTCAATCTTTAACTGTTTTGACTTACCCATTAGAGATATTTTAATAAATTAATAGGATCTCTTTAATTAGGCGACCTTTAATAAAAAATAGCTACTTAGTTGCAATTAAGTTTGTGATAACTGCTATCCAACTACCATCTTACAAAAAACTTCCTTCCTTTGGAAGAACCATAGAATAATATCTCTTCTATGGGCAAGCTAAAAACAATGCAGAAATTTATAATATGGATTTATGCACGTTTAGTAGATTAAAACTAACACCAGCTAACTCTTAATAAAGGAGTAAAAAAGAAAACCTCTTCCATCTGAAAGAATAAATTACACTGATCGTATTAACATTATTGCCAGGTTGGTGTGATTAATTAAAGATCCTGAGCTTGTCGGCTGAAAAACCAACAACCTGGGTTTGAGACCCAAGCATCACACAATGGGGTAAGTGCCCGTCTTTGCTTAGCTCCTGCCCACATGTTCGAAAACATGCGAATGCAAGTAGATAAATAGGTACCACTTTGGTGGGGAGGAAAAGGCACTCTGTGACATCATGCTGGCCACATGACCACTGAAATGTCTTCAGATGGCACTCTATAGGGAGTGCTGCCCCTATAGTCAGCAATGACTAGTGGGCCTGGTGGCTCAGCAGACTAAAAACATTGTGATTAACACCAGCTGTCTGCAATTACTGTAAGTTCGAATCTCACCAGGCTCAAGGTTGACTCAGCCTTCCATCCTTTCTAAGGTAGATAAAATGAGGACCCAGTTTGTGGGGGCAATAAACTGACTTTGTATAAATATACAAAAGTATGAAGGCTATTGCTTAATGCATTGTAAGCCGCCCTGAGTCTCCAGAGAAGGGCGGCATATAAATCAAATAAATAATAATAATAAAAATGACTAGCAGAGTACAATCCGTAGCGACTCCTTTCCTTTCTTTCCCAGTACTGTTTTTGATTTTTCAAACCCTCCATGGCATGGGGCTGGGTTATTTGAAGGACCTTCTTTCCCTCATTACATCTGCTCATCCAATCAAATCTGGCAAGAGAGGCATGCTAGAGGTCTCGGAAGGTGGAGGTGGGCTTTATTTTCTGGAAGTCCCTCCTCAGGCCTGGGGGGGAGGGGTGTCTCAGGGGAGGTGGCTGTGTTGCTGATCAGATCTTGTGTATGTCCATTTGTGACTGTGTTTGCTTTTATACTTTTTTCCCCTCTTTTGCTTATGTGCCAGCCAGGATAATTTTTTGTGAAATTTTAATAAAATTTTAATAAATAAATAAATAAATAAATAAACCAAATAGTCTGGCCTCAGGGACAAATAGAATAGGCATGTGCTTCTTCTGTCTGTCTGCCAGTGTAGTATTTTACCTTGCTTGATAATACTGTAGCTAGTCACTTCAATTCTTTATCTGAAAATCCTGCATATGGAAGTTATTCTCTGTGGACAAGGCCTGGAGGTTGACCATCAATTGCAGAGTGAGCAGAATCCACCTGAACCTATATTCTTGGCAGTAATCTACCATAGTTTTATTAAAATGTTCACACCTAAATATACATTTAAGTTTTTTTTCAAATTGTAATATTATGCAGCAGGAGTAAAAAATTGAACACTGAATAGTGGAAAGACTCCCACAGTTACAACATACTTCATATATCAACTATTACAATTACTTGTATTTCTTATATAATTAATTTTAATTTTTAAATTCTTTTCAATTATACTTTGTGTTTCTGGCGGTTGGCCATAATAGTCATTCAGTCATTCATTCACTTACATTTATATCTCCATGTACATATATTTTAGTAGATACAAATTGTACACAAATCTGTACTTGCATTTTTCTTTCAGATTTTAAATCAGACAATTTTAGACAATTTTAGAATAATGGGATATCTCTGAGTTTTTATTCTATATGTCTATTATGAATTATTCATTTATTACATTTTAAAACCATCCATTTCCCTCCTCGAGGGATTCTGGGCAGTGGACAAATAAAACATTGAAAAACATTAAGTAGTAAATATATCACTTGCCCATTATAAATTCATTTATCTTTGGCTCATAATTATTATTTTCTTTGTGTGTAGACTTGAAACTTCAAAGGTACTGCTACATAGGAAATAACAATATGTTTTCTTTTTATTATTTTCCTACAATGCTACAATAATAATTCCCATGAGCAAATAAGTAATTGAAAATTCATTTAACTTTAAAGCTTTTTTTTAAATAATCTGGAAAAGTTCATTGAGTGTTAAAACAAATTGTGCTTCCATTTTATGGGCACCAATAATGATAGGTATGTTCATTCAAGTATAATTTTTCCACTACGTAACAGACTTCATCTGTTATTTTGCTAGCATTTATAGCTGCCAATTAAGGCATAAGAAAAGCTATAGAAAAATAAAAATAAACATATCTCCTAAATTATTTAGGTCAGGCCATAGAAGAATAGTAGTATTTTCAGGATTTTGACATTCCTTTGAAAAAAAATCTTCCTTCACTTCGTTTTTTTTCCCCTTCAGGTAGTCATTATGAATTACTTTAGATATTTGAATTAAAGAAAAATCTTGCAGAAGTACTACTAGTTATAATGGCAATGCTTCAAAAATAACATAATGAGCTGAGTCAGAACAGGGCTTGTCAAAACCTTTCTCCCATATAAGAAAGTCAGCATGGGATGAAAACAGTTCTCTATAGCTAAACTGATTACATGCTGGTTTGCAGTGGTGGGATAACAACCGGTTCGGTGATCGTGCACTTTGCGTGTACGTGCAGTTTTACAAATACTAACCTTCTGTGTTACCACTTGGGAGTAACACAGCTGAGGTGTGCCAATCCGCTCTGCCGTGCCAATCAGCTGAGACAATAAAGGTAAGTAAAGTGCAGGGGCGGCGGGGGGGGGGGGCGGCCCACCTTATCGTTAGAGCGAACCTGTTCACCCGAACCGGTTCGAACCAGTAGAATCTCACCCCTGCTGGTTTGCAACTATAGCTAGCGAGTAAGCTATGTGTAGTCAAAGCTAGCTTTATGTTCTAGTGGGCCTCTTTATTGTTAGGCTTTCTAATACAAATATCTACTAAGCAACAGTTCCATAGACGCATAGATGAACTTGGCTAGGAACTGAATCTTTACTGTTACACCAGAACATCAATCATAAGAGATAAACAACAGTCTCTACATCATGGGTTTCAAACTTGCGGGGTCTGCATTCGGTCTGCAGGCTGCCAGTTTGACACCCCGCTCTATATAGTCCTTGACTAATGTTCATTAATTTAGTGAATGCTGAAAATTACAATGGAACTGAAAAAGGGGACTTAGAACTTGTGCCTGAAGTCACAGCCCTTGCAGCATCTTCGCAGTCATATGATAGCAATCTGGGTACTTGGCAATCCATTTGCACTTATGACTGATTGCCAATTGCCCTACAATCATGTGATTGGCATTTGCAAACTTCCCTGCTGGCTTCACCAGAAAATCAACGGGGAAACCAGTAAAAATCACAAACTGTTGCCACCTGCCAAAAGGATGCTCTTTAATTTCTGAGGGCTGGCTGAAAAAGGTCACTGATGAGTCATGAAGTGGAGAGGCTTGTCCACAGATCTTCCCCCCAAATCATATGTAATAAACAAATAAACACATGCACCAGGCCTCCCAGGACCTCTCCTATCCTGCTGAGGCACCGTGCTGCCTCACCTTCCTGGTTGGATTTCAGCAGAGACAATTTTCAGCTCTGGAGCATAGAGGGCCTGAAAATCCTCCCTGCCAAAATCCAAGCAGAGCAGAGACGCAGTATGGTAAGAGTGCAATGTGTCTCAGGAAACGTGGGAGGCTCTGGGAGGGCAGCATGAGTTGGGGTTGGGTGCTGTGGAGAACTCTGGAGCTGAAATCCTCCCTGCTGAAATCCCATCAGAGCGGAGAAACAGTGCAGTACGTTAAGGGTGTTAGGTGCTTCAGAGAAGCACCTCATAGGATGGAGGAGGCCCTGGGAGAATCAACACAAGCTGTGAGAGTTGGGGATGCTGTAGACACTTCTCTCTACTCTATAGCTGAAAATCCTCCCAGAGACATCAAAGCATTTTCAAATCAAAGCAAAGGATTTTCAAACCCTGAATGGGTTTGAGACTTGCCCACAGCATGCCCCTCCCAAGTTTGTGGTCAGCCTGCCCCAAACTGAATCACCCTGTGTACTTACTATCATACTGTCTACTCAATGACCTGTGAGATAGCTTAACAATGGGAACTGGGAGTGCTGGGATTGCGGTAATTGAATGAAGTGAACATGTGATGATTTCTTCACCCAATGACTTAAATTTTGGTCCCATTTGTGGTAAGGCCTGCCTATGCCAGGTGGGAGAGATAGTTCAGTGTATATCCTGCCATATTTCAAATCTTGCTCAATCCTTTGCAGTGCTTGTCACATGGAATTGTTCTCCTTTTCTTACTTCTAATAAACAACCGTTCACTAGAAACACTTGCATGTTTAATTTCTCTGTATTCTGTTCTTATGACTAGATAATTCCCAAAAGTTAAGTTAAGATACTGTCTTTACATTAACAGAGCAATCATATTTATGCCTTTGAAGTAAACATATGCAAAGAGGCATAATAAGGAAGAAGAGAAACTGGAAGGAAATTTGCCTTGAATATGGCTTGAATCAACCAAATAAACATAATCCATTGAAATAAGTGAAGTTCAGTAATCACAATCATGATTGCATATCATACTGAACAAAATAACTCAAGAGCCCTTGTCCTCAGCTAATATCCGTTTGTTCAGCGACTATTCAAACTTGTGACAATGCTGCACAAGGAAACCTCTAAGTTCTCAACATTGCGGAGTGCCTGCAGTTATACGATTGTGATTTGGACACTCAACACTTAGCTGCAGTTACATGATTTTTGATGTTTCTTGCTGGCTTCCCACAAGCAAAGTCAACAGGGAAACTGGCAGGAAGTTGGAAGTTCTCACTTAATGATAGCAACTGGGATTGCTGAGAACTGCCACTGCAAAGCAGCAAATTCACATGATGTTGCACCCCATCATTTAGTGACAGCAATTCCAGTCCCAATTGCCATCATAAACGGAGAACAACCTGTATAAGGAATGGGAAAAAACCCCTAATAAGATCTGTTTATATTGAATGTGAATAATTGATGCTCACTGAAAAGAGCCACGGCTGAAAACAAGAGTTCTATCTCATACATGACTTGGGTTGGCAATTACTTTTTTAATTACATCAAATCCCTCAAGATCTCATGAAAGTTGCTGTAAGAGATCTCACATGATAATACTAGAGTCATAAGTGATTCTGTGCAAGGATAACCAACATCTCAGTCATTCTTTTAAAACAACTCTATAAGGTTTGTGGGTTTCAGCAATGAGTACCTTCTGTTGAATCCTTCTACTTCCATCTTTGCTACATAACAAGTGCTAAGCAAACCAGAGTAAAGGGCTCCTGTATACTTACTGTCTGTAGCTGACCATAACTATTAAAATAGCAGGCATGCAGCAAAGGATAATGATGACAGCCAGGGCCAACAAAGCTCCTTCGGTGTAGCCCACAGCTTGTGCCTGCTTTTTGACATTGGCCACCACATCTGGTGTTCGTATTTCCAAAATACGTCCTCCTTGCCCAAGGTATGGTTGAAATTCTTTATTGATATCCAGAAGCTTGCCATCCAGAAATCTTCAGTGTCAAGAGAACAAAGCAAGAGAAGAAAGCAAGATCAAGTTAATCTCTATTCTTTTTTTTTAAAGGTGGAATCGATATTAAAAGGTAATAATAGTCTTTTCCCCTCCCCTCCAGCTTTTTATTTCCCCACTGTGGTTCCTTTTGAACATTTCATCCCCTACCTGCCCTCTCTGTGGTTTCTTTGATCTGATTTTCATTCTAATTGACCAACGGCAGTAGAGTTGTTTACAGTGTGCCATCTGTGATGATAGACACAGCTTCATAATAAAAGCACGCTGATCATCTCAAACAGCAGTGGAGACGATGGATAATTTTTAAAAACCAGGAACAATAGAACAAAAGAGTATAAAATAGTTCTGGAACAGATCTATTGGAATCATGATGTTGAAAATGTGAAAAGCGATTATATTGCTTTAGAGCAAAATTGCTCCAACTGTTCAAAGATGAGGTTACCAACCATGAATACAATAAAAAGAGCTAAACTGGTGTACCATTGCAATTAGGCTCTGTGTTACATGAGTCAAAGTAAGTAATGTCGATTAAACTGAACAATTCAGGTGTAATGAAAAGTGGAAAACCTTCTCTTACATAATGCTTGCATGTACTGAATGCCATTTATACTAATTAAGAAAGTGAAATGTCCTTCAGGGAGTTGTAATACCCTCTCTTTAAAATTTTATAAGCAATTTATCTACAAATCTCAGTTTCTACAGTTTTTATAGCCTATCTGTGCTTATTGTAATTCAGATGAAACATGGCATAAAGTACAAAATGAGATGAGGGCCTTTTAAATTTATTTTAGGAAGTCACAATGTCTCAGAAGCTATCCCTCTTTTTTGTACTCATGAAGGATAATGGATAATGTAAGTATTTTTTTAAAAAAAATTCTGATAGTACCTTTGTCCTAGTACTGAGAATGAAAAAACACACACCATGCCATTGGCAAATAAATTTCACTCAACACACAGATATTCTGAAAATCTGCATATATGCATGCATACACACAATGTATGTATGTGTGTGTGTGTATACACACACACACACACACACACAGAGAGAGAGAGAGAGAGAGAGAGAGAGAGACAGACAGACAGACAGACAGACAGACACACATATACAAACACACAGAAATCAGTGGAATCCCTTCTTCAGGAAGGATACCTGAAGACCTGGCCAAAAACATTAGACAAAATAATAAAGGTTTCATCCTGGATGAACCTTTTTTTATTAGTGGGTTAAGCAACCATCACCAAATATGGCATGACTTTTCCCCTAACTTGCTGCCCTTATCATGATCCATAATGGATACCTTTAGTTTAAGACAGCTATAGGTTCTTGAGATACCAAGGTGGTTGGTATCATCTTTATGAATTAGAGTTGCTAGATAGGTGAGAAGGTGCAATGAATACCAGGCTTCTTTTCCAAGTTTAATCTGTAGAAAAAAGCAGCTAAATATGAACTAAAATAGCATGGAACTAAAGAATTATATAAAACTACTCAGTTTCTATCTAACAATTATAACATTGTTTTCAATCAGTAGCTTAAATCAACACGATGTAAAAAAGATGTTGAGACTCTAGAAAGAGTGCAGAGAAGAGCAACAAAGATGATTAGGGGACTGGAGGCTAAAACATATGAAGAATGGTTGCAGGAACTGGGTATGTCTAGTTTGATGAAAAGAAGGACTAGGGGAGATATGATAGCAGTGTTCCAATATTTCAGGGGTTGCCACAAAGAAGAGGGAGTCAAACTATTCTTCAAAGCACCTGAGGGTAGAACAAGAAGCAATGGGTGGAAACTAATCAAGGAGAGAAGCAACTTAGAACTAAGGAGAAATTTCCTGACAGTTAGAACAATTAATCAGTGGAACTACTTGTCTGCAGAAGTTGTGAATGCTCCAACAGTGGAAATTTTTAAAAAGATGTTGGATAACCATTTGTCTGAAGTGGGGTAGGGTTTCCTGCCTGGGCAGGGGGTTGGACTAGAAGACCTCCAAGATCCCTTCCAACTCTGTTATTCTATTCTATTCTATTCTATTCTATTCTATTCTATTCTATTCTATTCTAGTCTAGTCTAGTCTAGTCTAGTCTAGTCTAGTCTAGTCTAGTCTAAACACTCCTATTCAATGGAACTGGTTGGAGAGATTCCTTTTCCATGGGCATTTCCTTAAAATATTTCCCCTCACCTTACCATCAACATCCTGTTGTGTCACATGGGGAGGGGAATAATCCGAGTCCCGCTGGTCTTGGTAGCAAGGATCAAGATTGTGGCAGCAGTGGCACAATTGAAATTGTGCTTAGATCACATTGTGCTGCCATCTTGATTTCTGTGTCTTTCATTTTAATTCATATGCTTCTCCTCACTCACACACAACATATTTTGGAAAACTTTGGCAAAAGGTTTAAAGGATTTTTTTTTTTAAATGTGATTTCCACTCTCTTGATTTGCAAGCAATTATAGTTTGGGTAAAGAATGGCTTGCTTAAAATCAGAAAACATAGGAAAAAAACAGAAGATGTGAACGAAATGAAAATATGGACATTCACTGACATCTTTTTCAGTATTATGGTGGCACCAAGATGCAGTACAAGGCATTATTTTTAGTCTTATTTTTACTGAACCAGAAATTTTTGTTGGAAAAATTAAACATGTGTTCATTGAATAGGTTTTACTGATTTCAACTAAGGCTATTTTCTGAGTAAAGGTGATCTGTAGAGACACAGGGGATAGAAAATTCTCCTCAAGATGGCAGCCATAACACATACAAAATCTTCTACAGTCATGCAGTTGAAGCCCCTTCACGGACAATCTCATATCTCCTTAGGAGGCCACAAAGACACTGTGGTGTAATCACTGAGTTTTCACTGAGATGTTTTGTAACTGAAAAGTAAGATATAGTACAGTACAGGTAGTCCTTGATTTACAACTGTAATTGAGTCTGACAATTATAGAAGTAAGCAGTAATGGTCACAAAACAGGCCATCATTTGACCAAAACCATTTCTACCAACTTTTTTGTGGTGGTAGTTAAATAAAAATAGCAGCAGTTGTGACCCCATTGTTCATTATGGCATTTTTTTGTGGGAAACTGGAAATAAATACCACTTCCTGGCAAAACCATTGTAAATTGTCATATGACCATGGGGTACCGCAAAGGCCTATAAAATTGGGCTAGTTGCTGAATGCCCAAAATACAGTCATGTGACCGGGTGTGGGGGGAGGCTGATATCAAAAGTTTGAAAGTGGCTCATAAATCCTTTTTTTTGGAGGGGGGGTTTTCCATTGTAGCTTCAAGTGGTCTTAAAGAGGTTAGTCATAAGTCAAGGACTACCTACAGTATATAATCTTGAGAAACTTTATAATGATTTTTTTCCCCTTAAAAACATATGATGTGTTATTAGTGGAAATGAACTTCACTGTCAAATGGCTTTGATATTAATAATTACTGTGCGAGGAAGTTTAAAAAAAAAAAAACAGAGAAAATATTGAGAACTCAAGAAGCTTCTTGGATAAGAACTGAAACATCTTCAAGGAAAAATAAAGTCCAGTTACGGTACCTTTTGAAAAATCACCTTTGGGACAACCATGACCTGAATGACTGAGAATCTCCACAGACACTGAGAAAATATATCTTACACTATAGGCTTTGTCTTATTTTGAAGAAAGATTTTCATATTTATTTAAAATCTAGGAATAGTCGTATCACGAGAGGCATTTTATTATTCCCATATTCTCCTTTCTGTCAAGACACCATTCCTTGAAAACAAGTTTAGGAGGCAGAACTTCCTGAGGGACATAAGTCTAAAAAGCAGCTGAGAAATCGCTTTGTTTTTCCAGAGTATCATGCTATTCTTTGGAAATTATCCTGTAACTGTACAATGGGGCAAAAGGCTGACTGAGACCCTTTCAAGGCATCTCATTGCAGGATTAAATAAAGGAAAATCCCAGTTGGAGTTAATGTTTGAAATCTGGAAATACATCTGAGTTTATAGGAACCAAACCGCTGGAGATTCCCTGCCAAGCCTAAAATATGCTAATATTTCAGACTAAAACTTTCTCTTCAATTCTTTTCTTAGTTTTGCTAAACTGACACTTCTTCATCTCTGCCCCAAGGCCAAGAAAGTATTCCCTAGCCTTTTGATGTTATACATTTTTGAAAATGTTGGAAGAGGAAAAATAAAGCTGGTTGTGCAAGTTAAAGAAATATGTAATTAGGTTGTCTCTAAGCCTGCGTTAATTAGTAGGCAAACATTTTTTTTTAAAAAAAGACTTTTCTTAGTTTTTCACATTTTCATCTTCTTTAGTACCAAGAATGTAGATTAGATAAAGATTCAGTAATTCAAAATGATATTTGAATATTAAAATTTATATTTAAATATTTAAATTGATATTTGTATATTCAAATATCAATTTAAATATTGAATATTTGAATATTCTACTCTACTCTACTCTACTCTACTCTACTCTACTCTACTCTACTCTACTCTACCCTACCCTACCCTACATTACTCTCTTCTCATTTTCTATATTTTAGTCCAGTATAGAGGAGAAAATTCAGCCTATTTTCTAACATACCATATCTCAAAAATATCCATTAAAGCAGTGTTAAATGAATGAAGGCCATAATGGTTCATTGTTATAAGAATTAGTTCCTCGTTACTTTAATTCTCCTTTTTCTACTCAGCCTTTTATTTATTTATTTGCATCATTCTTTTTGGGGACAATGACACTAAAACCAGATATTGTCTCATATTATTATTACACTGGAGAAAAAGATTGTTACCACAACAAAGAAATACATAGTTTATTTTTGCTCTTTGGCTGTCAGATCCATGAATTCTTATTTATTTAAGTAATAACATGGTTTGAAGTATACCACAGTAACAAAAGTATTCCACACCCACACACAGAGAAAAATCATATCAATCTATTTATCTATTTTTTCCTTCACTTCTTAGAATCAGATTTGATTATTTCTTTCCAGATGTTGGAGGTCCTCCATTCTAAAATTCATAATAAAATGCACACAAGTTTGAACTTCCACATTTTACTCATTTTACTTAATATTATATTACTATAATATTGTCCCACTTGCTTTCTAGGGAATAGTGTAGGCAAGATCTTTGGAATGAGGAAACAATTTTTAAATGTTTCTGTGCATAAATATGCCATATTTCTACTTGTGTTATTTCAGCAGAAAATGGCTTAGAATGCTAGAAATTCTAATATCCTCTTCAACATTCAAAATGAAAGACTAGACTGCCTTCATCCTTTATTTTATTTCTTGTTTTATGTATGTTAAGTGAAACCAAATATTAGGGCAAGCCACTAGTATATAAACGGAGCCCAAACCCCACTCCCTACTAGTACTGATGATGTTATCTTGTTTGGTAATGAAATGTCTGCAAGAAAACAACCAAGATCAGAGAGCACTAAAGTCCCCACAGTTCAACTGTGAGCTATAAATTTGCTCTTTTCTTTGGGGAGCTGATTGGAAAAAATGAGAGCAATTATTGGCTGAAAAATGTATACCTTTGGGCAATTTTTATGAACGTAAACATCATGCATAAAAATATTGCACAGGTATAATGCAGAATATAAAATTATTCCTAACTTAAGTAATAGTTGTGCTGAATGACATACATGACAGTTTATATTACATTTTAAAAATGTAGTTAAATGCAGTCCACCATACATTTATTTCAAAATTGCGCATGGAAAAAGAATAAACAAATGTTGCAAATATTTATCACCAACAAAAAACCCACAAATGTTTTCTTTTTTCAGTTCTATATTCAAGCATTTGTCAATGCCAGTTTATATATTTGCTGTTTGTAGATTTTACAGACTATTCTTTTTTTTTTTTATGGTTAATACAATAGATATTTGTAATCTCTCTCTTCATCCATCAGCTGAAAATATGCCAATTTTCTTCTCAACATCAACATATTTTTGTATGTCACTATTAATTTAACCACATAAGGTATGAAACTCTAAATAAACAAAATACTGCCAATAAATCACAGTTCATTTGTTAGCTCAGAAACATTTGTTTCATAAGCATATGGCTAGCAAACTATCACACTTGCTCACTAGGCATTCTGGCACTATTCTCCTGTGCAGGGAAGATAAAATATAAACGAAGTGCCTCAAGACTAGAGACTACCTCAACATCTGTGGAGGCTTCTGAGATGCCAATCCCAGACAAATCCAGTAACTCTACACCAGGTGTGTCAAACTCACAGCATCACTGCGGTGTCATGTGACGTATCATGACTTTTTCCTCTTTGCTAAACCGGGCGTGGGCGTGGCCAGTGCGTGACATATCAGTCTGTGGGCCACGAGTTTGACACCCTTCCTCTACACTTTCCCCCTGCCTCCTACTGAGATAAACTTCCTGTACTTTTGGTAGTTTTGGACCCAAAAGGACCACTGGTACCATTAAGTCTTTGAGCTTATATAATAATAAACTTTTGATCTTGAGGGATCAGGTTGGACCTGGAATTTCCAGGTTCCAGAATGCACTATAAAAATAAGCAATTATCAAATCCAGGGAGAGGAAAAAAAGGGTTGTGCCATCAATTCTACCTTTGAATTCTAGCTGAGGAACGTTAATCCACAACAGTGTTAGCACCTCTTCTTCCAAGGAGAGTCTTAGACTCTCCTATTAAGATGCTAATGATGGAAATAACAACTGTTGAAAGAGACATCATTGGTTAAATTTCTGGGTAGAAAATTTGGGACCACTGAACTCTTGAGTTACAGTCTTATATGTGATTCATAGTAAACCAGGACTTTACTCAAAAAGCCCTGAACTTCTGAAACCTTTGAACTGTGCAGGTATAAAACCCCATACCTTTGAATCACAGAAGCTACAGTGAAGAAGAAGAATCTTATGAATAACACAACACAAAAACATTACCGCAAGTGTGTCATAAAATGGGGTGTGTGTGTGTGTGTGTGTTCTACTGCTGCTTTTCACAATATTTTTTGTGTTAAATTGAGCATATGTGATTGCATGTTTGCTTAAAGGCAGAAAGATAACACTGAGACTACATAGGATTAACCCTATGGGAGTTTCTGTTTTCATCAGAACACAAAACACTAAATCATAATAATGCTATTTCCAGGTCCAAAGGTAATCTCTTAAATTGTTGCAGTTGTGTGCCACTCAACCTTTACATATGGCCCCTGTATGATATTACCTACATCTTTAAACATCAGACATGTAAAAGAACAAAAAGTTGCTAATTTTGAAGTCAAATTCAGTCAGTGCCTTGACACAAAGGTTGATTTCCTCAACTGATATTCACTGCTGCAATGCACTTAACTACTTACTTGAAAAGTTCATTCCTCATTATAGCACGGTTTGTCTGAGGATCGATTGCATAGATCATGAGGTCAGATTTGGAATAATCTTCTTCTGAATATCCATCACCATATCTGCGAGCACCAATGGATTCCACCACCACTTTTGCACCAGGAATCTGGTCTTGAACATAGCGTTCCAAAATCCTGACAATGGAAAACTCTTGGTAATTTATTAGCTCTATTCTTTGACTTATTTAATTAGACAAAAATGTTAAAATCTTATATTGTAAAGAAAATTGATTAATAGCATGGCAGGAAGGCAGGAAAGATGAATGGATGGATGGATGGATGGATGGATGGAAGGAAGGAAGGAAGGAAGGAAGGAAGGAAGGAAGGAAGGGAGGGAGGGAGGAAGGAAGGAAGAAAAGGAATCCAGAAAAACTAGTTTTAAGCGTGGGGGTAATTAATTCTATCTCTTAGTATTATATTAGGACTTGAATTTTAAATGGTTTGAAAGGAAATTGCAAAGTTATTTTACAGAGGGAACTGGTAGGCATGATAAAGGAATAGGTTTTATCTTTTTTACAGAAGCTATTAAATTCCACAAACTACGCTCACAGTGAAATGCATTAAGTATATAACACAGAAGTGGCCATACATCTCACACACATAAGATTTATGCCTCTGAGAGAAATTGGAGTGCCAGATTGTCAGGCATACCAGAATGGAATAAGTAAGACTGGCAGTTAAGCCACAGGTATTTTCAGAAATGGAAAAAGTTGTTAACAGATTGTTTAAACAATGCCAGTGCAGAGCTGCAGTATGTTAGCAACCTAGAAAACACAGCTGACAATTATTGAAGATCCAGCCAGACTTCTAGACTTCCATAAATATTGTCTCATGCATTTGACTCTTTAAAAGTAGTCTATGTGGCACAGCAATAGCGATTTAAATAAATATCACTAGATTATGGGGTGTGACTTCCTTAACAACCACCTGGTTTAGCATTGGTATTTCTGGCCCCAATTGTCAAGGATTATCTTTAGTACTTTTGCTAACAGTACTATGAGCAACAACAACATTGATGTCTTGGATAATCTCATCGACCCTTGGAGGTTTAGATTGACACTGTGGAACCCTGTTTTAAATGGAGTCCCAGTGATTTACTCATCTTCCATAGGACCAATTCAGTGCATGCCCACTTAGTATCAGAAACAGCAGCCCCAAACTATTTTCTGAGTTCTTCATTTAAGAGTTATGATGTATGCCAGAGGTGTCAAACTGGCAGCCCACGGGCTGGATGCATCACGTGCAGGCCACGCCCACCCTAGCTCAGCGAATGGGAAAAAACATTGTGAAATGTCATGTGACGGCAACATGACGCCGCGAGTTTGACACCCATGATGTAGGCTATGGTCCATGTAGCTTTGCTCAGTTCTGAATATGAACATTTTTATTTTATCAGACAGTGAGTTGGGCAACATATAAATTTAATAAATGAATAATTTTTCACATTTATTTATTCATTTACTTACTTGCTTGCCTACTTATTTAATTTACTTACTATTTTTACAAATAACTCAAGGCAGCAAACATATCCAACACATCTTCCTCCTCCTATTTTCCCCACAGTTCTGTGAGATTGTGTAACTGGCCCAAGGTCACCCAGTTATCTTTCATGGTTAAGGCAGGACAATATATATTGCATATTGTATTATAATCGTCCTTTAAAAAAGGAAATCTAACAAAATCCTCAATTTCACAAACTTTTTTTTTTTTTGATAACTTAAGTAAATATTATTACTCTTCTGAAAGCCAAGTATTTTTACCTTAAAAGTTAGTACCATGCACAGGACGGCAAGCTTTCATTAATGTTACAAATGATTAATACATTTTATTAATTTAATTGTACTGATGGAGGTCCCCATGGCTTTTTTAAAATAAGAAATAAGGAGAAAACATAATTTTTAATAGGGTCAGGTTTTTGTTTTGTTTTATTAAGAAAGCAACTATAGTAGACTTTTAAAAAATATTTATTTAAATATTTTGAAAACAGGGAAATGGGATTTATCTTGCAATGGCCAGCCTGAATTTCCCTGCTGCAGTTGCTACATTCTTTGATTCCTTCGAAGCTCTGCATACTAATTCAAAAGAAAGCTATGCAAAGCTAATTAAGCTTAGAGAAGCCCCTTCAGCAAACACTTCGGTTAATTTATACTTTTATATAAACTCTAAACTGGGTTGATCAGCCCGTAGACACATGGCATGCAGCACAGATGATTCTAGTCGCATGGGTTTGGAGATTGATTCACATGAAAAGGATCTACGTTTTGGCTCATCAAATCATAGTGTTTCTTGAGCCAAGTTAAACAATCAGGGACGGCACAGATTCCTTGAACCAAAGCTTGTAGGATTGCCTGAACCATGTTTAGTAGAGTTGTTTAGGGACTTGCTTAGTTTGACTAATCTCTAGGGTTTTTTCCTTTAAATATGGTTCTATGATTTACCATTGATGTCACTTCCCCTTTGGATATCTGCAATGTGCTTTACATGGGGTGCTCTTGAAGACCAGTCGGGAACTACAAATTCATAGATCCAAAACACAGTGGTACATACAGTATTGGTAGTTTGAAAGGATGTCAAGCTGTACTAGCTATCGGTTTCCTTCGTGGTGCAATTCAAGGTATTATTATCACATTTAGAACCCTATTGACATAGGACCGAGTTACATATGGCACCGCTACCATAGAGTATCTGCGCATCCTACCAGATTGGATAGTGTAGGCAACTGAAATCTTGCCATCTAGTGGAATCTTGAAAGTATACCTTTTCTGTGGCTATCCTATAGAATAGAGTTCCCCAACCTTTCCGGCTTTGAGGGGGTGGGGGTGGGGAGTATGCATGCACCATAGATGGGTTTCAGCAGGTTCTGATCAGTTCTGGAGAACCGGTAGCGGAAATTTTGAGTAGTTCGGAGAACCAGTAGTAAAAATTCTGACTGGCCCTACCCCCATCTATTCTCTGCCTTCCAAGTCTCAGTTGATCGGGAGGAAATGGGGATTTTGCAGTAACCTTCCCCTGGATTGGGGAGGGAATGGAGATTTTACAGTATCCTTCACCTGCCATGCCCACCAAGCCACGCCCACCAAGCCATGCCACGCCCACCATGCCACACCCACAGAACCGATAGTAAAAAAATTTGAAACCCACCACTAGTGTGCACATGCTCGCCTGCTGCTCATGGGGATGCATGTGCTTGCGTGTGCACTTGCCTGCCATTTCCACGGCCTGGTTGCAAACAACTCACGGCCCACTGGTGGGCTGTGGTCCAGAGGTTAGGGACCCCTGTTATAGAACACGCTCCACAGATTTCTTGGCAGGTTGCCACCTTTTTAACGTTTCAGAAAACTATCAAGACATGGCTTTTTAACTGGGGTAGAATGAAGATGTCTGAAGTTGTTGTGGGGTTGATTAAGGCACCATATTCTGTTTTTGTTTCATGCGTTATGATTTTTATATTTATGAGTTCTGTTATTGTTAGGACCCGCTCAAGGTTATGTTTTTAAATTAGGAAGCCATACAAAACTTTTAAATAAATCAAATAAATCATAAAAGTTGCCAGGGGTTTGGTATGTTTTTGGATCAGTACATTTTTAATCATAAATGACTTTTTCGTGGTTACAGAATGAAGATATTCATTACCCTATAAGCTGATCTTTGCTTTGTTCTACAAGAGTAGGAGGAACATTTGACACAATGACTTGCATATCCAGCTGGTTGACTACTGAGACCTGAAACAGAAAAACAAAAATATAGTGGAGTCCTCAAAACATGTAATATACCCCCAAATAGAAAGTGTATCTCATTTAAGAATTTCCTTTGATTACCAGCAGTTTGGAGCTTGACTGGAGAAACTTATTATAATAAAATAACATCACAATTTCCTCTCCTTAAACTTGGTGGGATTTAAAAAGCACAAATATGGCTGCAATGCCAACTTTTTTTTTTTAAGAAAAGATATGCTTTCATTTAAACAAGCCACCTTTTATTATTAAATAATATACAAAAGACCATGATTTGTGTATTGCCTTTTGTATTTTAACAGAACAAAATCTATCTGCAGTTTTGTATCTTTTTATCTGGAGATTCATATTCCAAACTGTATTAATTGAGTCTAACTGGGTATAGGATTTATGACACCAAATTGATCCTCAGTGACATCTATATTTAAAACAGACCATTTCCTATTGGTCTCTATCAATCTATCTATAACAACCTGAGAAACATATGGAAAATCTCAAGTCATATTGACTTCTGTACAGGTAGTCCTGGACTTACAACTATTTGTTTAGTGACCATTCAAAGTTACAACGTAATTTCGTTTACTGAGTAAAGTGCCTTATGACCATTTTTCAGACTTACAACCTTGGCAGCATCCCCATGGTCACGTGATTAAAATTCAGATACTTGGCAACTGACTCATACTTATGACCATTGCAGTGTCCCAGAGTCATGTGATCATCTTTAGAGACTTTCTGACAAGCAAAATCAATGGGGGAGCCAGATTCACTTAACAACTGTGTTATTATATCTATATCTATATCTATATCTATATCTATATCTATATCTATATCTATATCTAATCTATATCTATATCTATATCTCCGATAAAATTCTAAACAATTTAAAATGAGAGTAGGGTAAAATATAATACTTATAGGATGAAATATAATAATTTAATACCTAAAAATATAAAATAGAATAAAATGGGATAAAATTATATTTCTTTATCACCCGTGCAATCTACCCCAATCAGGCCCACATATGCCGATCTCAGTCAGACAATTTTAGTCAGAAATTGTGCTGTATTAAATGTCATTTTCAGATTCTGGCCACACATGAGGTATGTTGATTTAAGATGGGCCATATGTTTAATATGTGGATAAAGGTACTTATTTCCCACCCCCTTATATAAACAGCAATCAAATAATATATGAGTCAGATCTTCTACCTCTTCAGCTCCACAGATACATGTATGTTCATTGAATGGAATCTCCCAAATCTAACCATTTGTATCAAGCTGTTCGAATCTTGCTCTGGTAAATGTCTCCCTGAGATGTTTTGGCAATTGTGATTTTAAATAGTTGTGTTTTGTTACTAATTGCAGTGATGCACTTAAGAACTGTGACAGGAATGGTCATAAAATGGAGGAAAATTCACTTAATAACTATCTTGCTTAGAACAGAAATTTTGGGCTCAATTGTGTCGTAGGTCAAGGACTACCTCTATATAGAGTACACAAGGAGGGCAAGCACAAGGAGAATTTATCCACTTGAACATTGGAAGAGCTGATCAAGCTCTTTCTCTTTCTACTTGCCCTTCACCTCAAAGGCAGTATAATCTTGGTTGCAAGAATGGAGTGTCGTTAGGAAATTATTGAAAGAATAGCATAATCTATATGCAATCAAGGCTGCAAGCAGAAAAAAAAAATCATAATTTCCTTGACTATGTAAGACCATGCTTTTTTTCAACTTATCTAGGTAGGAAACAGAAGCAATTGGATTGCTGAGAAAGAATGAAATTGATACAATGACCTCTCTACAGCCCACACATTAGTCAAGTAACTTAAGCTAAACCATTGGCAAGCCAGCATACAAATTCTATAATCGTACCAACCACACATCAGTGTACGATTAAAGCAAACGGTTGATATGCATGCAAATTATAAAACATGTTTCCTGATGTATGTACACTTGACAAAACTAAATCTCTTAAGAAGGTCAAATTTCATTTGACTTTCCGAGTACTTGAATTGCATAAGTAGCTTGCTTACTTAATGGCTTTTAAAACTATTTAATCATCGGGATGTTGGGAGCATAATTTGATATTCTGCTAGGCTATGAAAAGTATCAGCATTTCATGATAGAAGTCTTTTAGATAAATAAACACATTCACACAAAAGCTTGAGGGGAAAATCCTGGGACTTTTCCAAGCAGAGACGCGGCTCCAGTAATTGACTTAAAAAATTCAAAAGTGGCAGAAATTTGTGTGTGTGTGTTGAGGGGGGGGGGTAACTATCATTTTGGGAATTTTTTACCCTACTTTCTTTGTATTTCATAATTTTACCAATAAAGTGTTGTGGTCTGCCAGCAGCCTGTGGAGATGGCAGCAGAGACTGACAGTGAGGAGGCTGGGTGAGGAACATGGGCCAGTCCTGGAGTCTGGGGAAGGCCCGGACAAGGGCTCTGCGTCGAGGCAGAGATGGGGCCAGGGCCATCTGGGAGTGATGCACGGGCTCTGGAGCCTCCAGAGTTGGACAGCAGAGAAGCAGAGGAACAGAAGGAGCCTGTTCCTAGTGCGTGCATGCACAGAGCTGCCAGAAGGCACAAAGAGTTAAAACAAAAGGAACGACTCGGGAGTAAGGCCTGGAGATAATTGGCCCCTCCCATAAGGCTTAAAAGAGGAGCAAAGGCATGTGGGCACTTTGCAGGAAAGCAATGTTGTTAATTCTGTTCCCAGACGGCATCTCTGTTTGATTCTGGAATCCGTGTGGCTTTGCCAAGTAGGTTTTTGGCAGAATGTCAAGGGAAATAAAGGTTGGTGATTGTCCCGAAGGACTTATCTCGAAGGACTTTTTGCAACTAATTGGGACTCGGCTGTGAATGAACGTAATTCACAGCTGTTGCAATAAAAGAGGTATTTGGGACTACTCGTGGGTTTTAATGACTCAGGAAGCCTAAGTCACAACATAAAGTTTTTTTTTTTAAAGTGAAATTGCCCCTTCATCAACTATCAAGGACTTGCAATCATGGCATTAAGCAGAGCTAATTCCAGTTTTGCTGTAAAGGGAGTTAATGCCACCGTGGAGTTAAAACCATTTCATTGCCTTGTAGTGGGAGAAGTATCACAAGGGATATCTGGCTTGCCCTGCTCCTAGCTGCATTACCATCATACTGATGTCTCTGCTCAGAACAGATGCCAAATATGATACAAAATATACTATATTTTAACATTTTAACATTTTTGTCTAACTGTAAATAAGGTTAGACATAACCTGCAAGTACAAATGTGCATGCACATTCATGCACACCCACACCACAATACACAGTGCATCCATCCTTTCAGAGAAAGGTGTAAAATTCCCATAATTTCTCTCTCCAACCAATCCTAGTAAAAATTAAAAAGATGCATTAGATCATCATGCCAAATGTTAACTTTGCCCAATGAAAGCACAATGGGGACAACTACACATATGCATGATTTCAAAGGAAATGTAATGGATTTTTAACAATAAATTATTTTATTTAATAAATGAAGCCAAGTCTCTAGATGTAAAAAAAACCAAATTACTGGAGAAAGAAATATACAGAAAAACAAAAGAAAGGAAATTAAAACAAAAACCAGACACACAGACACAATTCCAGATAAAATAAAATATTAGGAGACTGTAAATAAACATATTTATTATAAGCCAAATAAATATCAACATCTTTAAGTGGTAGATAAGATTTGTTTTTGCCATGCCACACATCAGCAACAAAAGATTTGCAGCTACCTGGTTGTCAAGGTGCTGCTTTAAAGCCTTTCCTGATTTGGGACCAGGTTATCTGAGGGATTGTCTCTTGCCAGTCACATTCACATGACCCATTAGAGCAGGGGGGAGGGCAAGAAATGCTGTGGACCCCGTCCTCTAAGGAGGTATATCTGGCAGGATCCAGAAGAAGGGACTTCTCCGCGGTGGCTCCCTCCCTTTGGAATATTATCCCCTCAGAAATTAGAATGGCCTCAACTTTGATACTCTTTCCTAAGTACCTGAAGATCTGGTTTTGCTAGCGAGCCTCAGTAATCCAGAATGGGATGGAGCCCATCAAATGCTCACTTGACTGTATGTTATCACTGGGGGAGATTCTTTTTTTATTTTTATCTACCGGTATATTGTTTGTAAGCTGCCTATTGAGCGAGCAAGCGGCTATATCAATTTTCTAAATCAATAAATAAATACCGCCACTAACTACAACAGAAGCTCAATATAATGCAATCAGATCAAGAAATTATCAGGACAAATGTCTGCAAAAACGGGAATCATTGTAAATAAAATGTACATAGATCCGGAAAGGATCTATTCAATCATACTTACAAGTACATCTGATTTGTTGCTCAACCCTTTTCCATAATTGTCTGTTGCGATGGCCTGAAACTTGAAATAAGATCGTCGCATGTTTTTGAACAGCATTGCTGTTTTGATCAGTCCTGTATACGGTTCAATCACAAAGCCTTCCTTGCCATCTTTGATTGGAGGGATGATGAGTCTATACTGCATGGCACTATAGTTGCCGGTGTCTTTATCATGAGCCTGATGGGTAAAAATGAGAGGTAACATGAGAAAAATAATCTATGTGGGGTCCTTGGTGCTCTCTGAATTTGGTTGTTTTTTTCCCCCTTGCAGACATTTCATTACCCAACTAGGTAATATCTTCAGTACTAGAAGAAACTGGGGTTTGCTCTCTGTTTAGATCCAGTAATATATTCATTTTAATTCATAAATATAATGTATTCATATCAGAGGTGGGTTTCAACAGGTTCTGACCAGTTCTGGAGAACTGGTAGCGGAAATTTTGAGTAGTTCAGAGAACCAGTAGTAAAAATTCTGACTGGCCCCGCCCCATCTATTTTCTGCGTCCCAAATCCCAGCTGATCAGGAGGAAATGGGGATTTTGCAGTATCCTTCACCTGGATTGGGGAGGGAATGGAGATTTTACAGTATCCTTCCCCTGCCACGCCCACCAAGCCATGCCCAGCAAGCCATGCTACACCAAGCCATATCCAGAACCATTAGTAAAAAAATTTGAAACCCACCACTGATCCATATTAAATAAACTAAACTAAAAGGTATTGTGTATTAATGACAGCACAAATTCTGAAATACAAACATTTTTCGTGCCAAACATTTTTTAGTATTATCAAGATTTACAAAAGGAGATCATCCAAAATGGGGAATTTGAAAGGGAGAATTTACAGAACGATAGGCGCTCACAGAATTGTCTAAAATATTACTAAAGCACATATGTTATCAGTGAAGAACACTTCTTCCATATTGATAGACATCCATGGGAAAGTTCATCCAAAATTAAATTTTAGAGTGCCACTGATGAAATGAAAAGGTTAAGCAATATTTAATAGTTTATTTAAGACATAGATCATGATTTTGCCAAGCCTGGATGATTGCTTACCTTTTCAGAAAGAGTGATACTTTACAAGAGAAACAGGCTTGGTTATTATTGTAAGCTGTATAACCATTACTATGCTGGATGTCTGACATGGAGACTTTAATCAGGATTTGAACATGGACTAGTTCTGTATTGCCCACTCAGTTAGAAGGCAATTGTAAAACACAAGTTAGAAACTAAGAATATTTAAAGAATGAATCTTTTCTAAAAATAAAGATTGACCTTGAAACCGTTGCGTAGAATGGAATTAAATTACTTTTTGCATTCCCCCCTTTCCCCCCAGATATTAAAGTTTTCAGTTTAAAAACATATGAAAACACTCCATCAACTGTATATTTAACAACAAAATACAAAATAAATCAGTGTGGGTTTGTGTATGTGTGTGTGTGTGTGTGTGCGTGCGTATTTGTGTAGTGGGGAAAGAGATTCTGGCTTAAACCCACATTAAACCAGAGCATATATTTGGCTGTGTATTTGATGCATAATTTCTAAAAATTTAGAAATCAAGTAGAAACGAGGACAGCTTAATGAATGCACATAAATGCATATAAAGGTGACATAGATCAGAAATAGACCGATAGAACCGTCTCTAATTAGGACTTGATTAAAGTATCAAGATTTCAACTTCAGTGTAGCAGTGTAGGTAGCACTGCTTCTTTTTATCAACTGAATTCATATGTCTTTGTTAGTTATTCAAAGATCTTTGAACTGAACTGAAGATTTTTTAAAAAAATAGAATAGAATAGAATTCTTTATTGGCCAAGTGTGATTGGATGCACAAGGAATTTGTCTCGGTGCATACGATCTCGGAGTTCATAAAAGAAAAGATACATTTGTCAAGAATCATAAGGTACAACACTTAATGATAGTCATAGGGAAACAATCAATATAAATCAATATAAAACTATCAGAAAGAGTTTGTGTGCTGTCAGTATCAGAGTATGCCCTTTTTACCCTAAAAGAAAGATGGCTGCAATCCCCTTAATTTCCTATAAAGGCAAATATTTTTGTCACTTCATTAAGAAGAGATATATGATGCCTCAAGGCTTCTGATAGGCCTGTCAGAGAAGAGAAAGAACTACAGTTAATCTTAATGACAGTATATCTTTTCCTTTATTTATGTGGCGTATATTAATAGGCAGATGTTTTGACAACTCTCTATGAACAGATGCGGAGGAATGGATCTGCTTTATAACAAGGACAATTTTAATCTATTAATTAGATGGAACTGTATGTCACTGGCTGCACATTTACGCTCAGACTGAAGTATGTTTGAAATTTTTGTTTTCCAAATTAAGCACGGATTGAAGTCTCTTGGCACAAGAATCCTCATTATATGCTTTTTATTCATATATAAAAAGAGGAGCTGTTTCTTACATTCAGCAGCAAGAGAAAGCCGTTGTACATGAACGATAATGGCTTGTAAAAGTTTTGAATTAACAAATGCATAATTTGGTTTTGTTTAAAATTGGAAAAAACAAGCTTCTATGTGTAATTATGAAAGAAGAGACAAGTAATCTACACAACACATTCACGTTACACCTCAAGTAGACCATAAATGAGAAAGAGGATGTTTCAGGCTCACAAGAAACCAATTGGGTAGCTTCTAACTTCATTAGCCCACAATTAGAAATGTGACAAATAAAATTACCCACAGATTATGCTGAGACTGAATCACAGAGAATGAAAACCAGTAGTGAAATCCAAATCCAATTACCGGTTCTGTGGGCGTGGCTTGGTGGGCATGGTGTGGCTTGTGGGTGTGGCTTGATGGGCATGGAAGGGGAAGGATACTGCAAAATCTCCATTCCCACCCCACTCCAGAGGAAGGCTACTGCAAAATCCCCATTCCCTCCCCACTCCTGGGGGAAGGATATTGCAAAATCTCCATTCCCATCCCACTCTGGGGCCAGCCAGAGGTGGTATTTGCCAGTTCTCTGAACTGCTCAAAATTTCCACTACCGGTTCTCCAGAACCTGTCAGAACCTGCTGGATTTTACACATGATGAAAACCATAGGTCAGCCATCAGTCGAGGAAAATCTGTACAAAATTTTGATTATATAAACATCCTTACACTTAAGTAACTCTTTAAAAAAGGCATGGCAGACAAAAGCAATAGGTTAAAGTCTTCAGCTGTAAACTTGACGTATGCAATAGGATTTTTGGAACCCCTTTTTCAAAAGGCTTCCAAAGCCTGAAAAACACAGATAATTTCTTGCTCACTGTCATGTCTTTTATTTTTGTAAAAAAAAAAAAGTCTATAGAAAAATGTCATAATCATTTATCAGAATGGCAATTTAGAATGATCTGCTTGTTTTTCTGCCTGAGGATGCCAAAGGACTGAACATTTACTGTATGCGCAAAAATATGCTATGCATTAGATGACTCAAAACAAATCAAAAAACGTCCTTGGGCATTTATAGTACAAGATAGCTTTCATTAGAACAATACAAGCTAGGGCTAGTTATGGAGATAGTGACAATAAAATGACATTGTTAGTGGTGTTAAAAAGTCTGAAGGAAGAAAGGATACCGAAATGCAGGAACAATTCATGAACTTAAGACATGATGCCACACTGAGTTAGCAGGTGTAGCTTTTGAGACTAAAAATATACATCAGGCTGTCAATTCCTGCAGGGAGAAAAGTGCTTGTGTTTTAAAAAGCTATCATATTTTTGCTGGGAACTGTGATTGGAAACATCTGAATTTGCCATCTGCTTTAGTGCTGCTAAAGTTTAGCAGAAAAAGATCATTCGATTTATGATTCCCATTTAATATATCAGATTAAACAAAATTAAGAATGACCTGATAGAGTAGATTAGAATGGCCAAAAGTATTCATAGTAGCATCTTCTCCCCACACCCCCCACAAATTTAAGCAGCTGATTTGATGTAGGCTTCTTTTTTTTTTTTAAGGACAAAGAATAGTTAAGTCTGATGTTTCTCATTGCCAATAAAATGGCCATTTTCCAGCAATTTTTTTATTGAAATATCATAGATTTCATAATGTCTATGGCAGTGGTGAAATCCAGTTTTTTTTTTACTACTGGTTGGTTCTATGGGCGTGATTTGGTGGGCGTGGCAGGGGAAGGATACTACAAAATCTTCATTCCCACCCCACTCTAAGGGAACGATACTGCAAAATCCCCATTCCCTCCCCACTTCTGGGGGAAGGATATTGCAACCCCACTCTGGCCCGAGCCAGAGGTGGTATTTACCGGTTCTCCAAACTACTCAAAATTTCCGCTATTGGTTCTCCAGAACTTGTCAGAACCTGCTGGTCTATGGGGGTTCTCAGTCATCCAGGTCGTGGTTGTCCCAAAGGTGCTTTTTCAAGAGGCAACTGGACTTCCTTGTTTTTCTTTGAAGACATTTCGTTTCTCATCCAAGAAGCTCCTTCAGCTCTGACTGGATGTTGGGGAACAGAAGGATTTGTATTCCTTTCAGACAACTGGAACTGCTGTCCACATTTTGAAGAGAGAGGAACGCTGGTATGAAAGAGGGCTCAAGGAGGCCATCTATGTCAAATTGAACAGCCTTCTCTCAACAGAGGTGAATGCAGGGGTGGGTTCTACTTACCTTTACTACCAGTTCGCAGCAGGGCCGTGCGCACAGCTCGCTTCACTCATGTGTGTGCGCACTCTTCTGCGCATGCGCAGAAGCATTTTGATGAGATCAAGGTCGGTGGGTGGAACCTACCGCCAGTTTTACTACCGGTTCTATAGAACCATTGCGAACCGGGGGCAACCCACCACTGGGGGGATGGATATGACATCATCAATCTCCAGTCTACAACACAGTCCTTTCAGTAGTTCCAAAAAGGCTCCACACTCATTTGCACTACTCAGGTGATCCTGAGGACACAGATAAACCTGAGTGGCCTCTCTAAATGAATGTAAATGACCAGCTAATTGCAAGGAATATAAATCTTTCCATTCCTCACCATCCAGTCACAGCTGAAGAAGCTTCGTGGATGAGAAGTGAAACATCTTCAAAGAAAAACAAGAAACTCCAGTTTTCTCTTTAAAAAGTACCTTTGTGTCCATAGAGAGAGATTTCTGGCAAAATCACCGTAATCCATCTTGAAATATGATATTTTTATTATATTCTCCTTCATCTTTTCCTTT